AGCCCACGCACCAAGATAGGCGAAGAAATATGGCCTCGGATTGTTGCCATGAACCAGGAAGCCGAGTTACCAGCACTGCAGGACGGCGATGGCATAAACGGCCGTTTCACCAACCCACGTTTCTCACGGCTGATGGGTGCATTGGTCGAAGCATGTGATATCGCAGAAGGAAAGAAACCCAAGATTGAAGAAGTCGAAGAACCAAATCCACTAGATGCCCTAGCCAACGCTGCACTAGATCGAGGCGAGGTGAAAAAGCAGCCGCCTGAACCATCGCCTAAGTTACAGCAGCTTCCACCAACTTCTGCTCTGCTTCAGCCTCCGCCAAACTTACCGGCGCCATCGCAGCCTGAGCAACAGTTCCAACAGCCACAGCCACAATACGGCCCAATGCGCCATGAGCCTCATAGACCACTCCTCCCTCAACCTCTCGCACCTCCATTGTACCCTCCCTCTACGGACATGCGTAGATACTCTGCACCACAGTTCGCTGGCCCACCACCTCCTCACCTTCATCCCCCATTCCAGAGCCACCCTCACGTTCATCCTGATGCTCCCCCACAGCAACAGTTACCCCCAGTAGCAACGAGGTCACAATCCCAAGTGCTTCCTCACCTCAGTGAACATCTACGCCTACCTAACATATTCCCTCCGAGGAACCAACATCTGCCTCCCTTGCAAGAAATGGGCTACCATCGCCCCAGCCTTCCTCCACCTCCATACCAGGCACCTCATCCTCCTCATCAACCACCACCTCCGCCACCAAGCATGCAAGCTCCCCCTCATGGAATACCCATGGGGTATCCTCATCACCCACAGGGCGTTTACTCTCATCCACAATATTTGCCTCCCCCACCAAACATGCATTATCATCCACACCCACCACCTCCTCCACCTCCACCTCCCCATCAGCCCCATCAGCCGTTGCATCTACCCCCAGGTGCCCATGGGTCTCAGGCGTATCATCACCACCATCACCAGGCCTATCAACAACCACCTCCACACCAACCTCCACATCAACCTCGGTATTAATGCATTGTGGATGGCATGACATGGAGTTGGTTCGGCTAAAATCCCAGTTTTGTACAGGAACATCGGGCTTTTGTGTAGTATATGAAGTTCACTTTAATACGGTTGCATTATTTATCTGGCTTTGCATGTCTGTATGATAATTTCCTATAGCGATTTGAACCGGGGTGGTTTGGTTCTCATTTGTCTTCTCGATTTGTCTATTTCTGATTTGTGTACAGTTCAAAAATTGTTCTTAGAGGCTCATTTAATAATTCCTTGTTGGCATCTTTGCTTATTTAAATCCGTTACCATTCGTTTAATTCCCCAAAATAGCAATTTGTTTTCCTCCATTCCATATCCGCCTATAATCAAATTCCCTTCCATCGACCCAAAACTCCCAAATCATTCCACATTCATTTATCCAGATAATTCATCCATTCACCCATGCATGCTCCGTAAGTAGCCAGTCCAATCAAAAATCAGGGTATCGATCTCCCATGAGCCTAACAATTCGTTCGCGCTCTTCAACAGAGAAAGTTACTTTCTCAGTAGCCAGCAACACCTCCAACACACGATCCTGTTTCTTCAAAGCCGCAAGATTTAACGGCATCCAGCCCTCGGGAGCCTGTGCCCAGGGATCAGCGCCGTGCTCAATAAGAAGTCTCGTAACCTCATAGCTGCCATAGTTCGCCGCCAAGTGTAGAGGAGTAAGATGCCGCTTGTCCTTAACGGAGATATCGGCGCCTGCCTCGATGAGTTTCACAGCTATTGCATGGCAGTTGTAGTGCGCAGCTATATGGAGAGCTGTCTGTCCATCGTTGTCTTTTACCGAGACGTTCGCCCCGTGGCTGATGAGTAGTTTAGCAGTGGCGTTGTTGCGGTTGAAGGTCGCCAGATGAAGTGCCGTCATTCCTGTGTCATATTTTCTGGATGGGTCTGCTCCCTTCTCCAGCAAGAGGCTTGTGATGAATGGCCGCTCATACTTGGCAATGTTGTATAAAGCTCGGGATAGATCGTCCTTGATGATGCGCTTCCCACCAGCCTCTAGAATGAGGGTGATTAATTTCAAGGTTGCTAGCTGAGAGTTTGCTGCCGATCTCAGCGCTGGAGCGAAAACAGCTGGTTCAAGAGGGCATTTATCGCCTAGGCCGAGCATGGTTTTGACATAATAATAGAATC